GCTGCCCCGCGGTAGGTGGCCCTTCTGCCCGGGTGTAGGCCGGGGAGGGAGGCGGGAAATCCAGCGCCCCACTGACGGTGGAGGGCTGTAAGCGGGCTTTTGCTGCTGGGGTGAGAGCTGAGGGGAGCGGGTGAGCCCCACGGTAAGCGGCGCTCCGGGGCGGTGAGCGGTGCGTGCGGGTGCCGCTTCTCACACCGCAGCCAGGACGTGGTACAGCTGGGGGAAGCTGAGAAGAAGCGAGAATGATCAGCTGCCGTGCAACGTGCAGCTGAGTAAGTTAAGGCTCTTCAGCCTGGTAAAAAAACCCCAACAAACCTCCTGTGGCAAGAGATTATAAAATGGTCGGTGGTGTTAAAGAAGGTAGGTCGGTGTTGATCTTTACTGCTTCTGCCAACACGGTAACTGTGAAGCATCAGATCATGCCAGCAAGAGGCGGATGCACAACGGATGAAACGGATGATTCTTCATGCAAGACCCAGCCGTGCAATTCCTCGCCACAGGGTGTTCTGGATGCTAGAAGCTTTCATGAGTTCAAAGGGAGACTGGACAAGTTAACACGTGCACAGAGGGTGGCCAGGTACATAGAAACTACGCATGGTATTCAGGGAGGTACAGAAACTAAATGTTGAGAGCATAATTTATTAACAAGCTGGAAATGGACAAAGACTAGATAATTAAAGATGTTATTGCATGCAGCAGATTGTCTTCAGATTTGTGTTGATTGAAGCCATTCTTAAAGTCTGCCACACCCTAGCTGTAACTCTTCTTCAAGAGCTGTTGTCTGTATTTAAATTTACACTGTGAGCCAACGCTCAGCACTACTGATTGAAGTTTTTATCCACAGTGGTATCTATATGGGCAAATACGTGCTATATACCTCTTGCCGGTGTACATGTATTCATAAAGGATACATTGCATGCTTTTATTTCTCATTCCTCCTCAATATTGGAGCCCCAAGACACGAAGGAATTGTAGAGAAAAAGGGTGGGACAGTGGGTTGTGATAATTCACATAGACTATTCCTCTTGAAGAGGAACAGTTACAGGTAATTTTTCTTCTTTCCAGTTCTAGGAATAGGTGGCTTAGGAAGAAACACCAAGTCGACATACTTATGGTGAACAGTGAAATTATTTGAGGAAGGGATTTGGCTTTGGGTATGGGGTGTTCATATGTTTGCTCTACCAATAAAGAAAACTGTTTATGATGGGGCCTGGGTTGCCTTTACCTTCTGATTGAAGAAACAGTACTAGAATAGCTATATTCCCTGAAAGGTGAAAGAGAAAAGAAGGCGGATAAAGGGTGAAAGGCTTCAGAGATTAAAGATGTGAGCTTGGGGTTGTTTCCTACTGAAGAACTGGATCATTAAGAGCGTGACAGTTCCTTGCCAAACTCTTAAAAGAAATGTGTGGGTGTAGTAGGGCGAGTAAAAAGTAACAAACCATCACCACACCTGTGCTGGTGGTGATTAGTGGGAGAAACAGACTGAAAGGAGCCTGACGTGATGTGTGCCCCAGTACTTGGCAGGTTGTATTATCCCATTAACAAAAAAAAGAAAGAAGTTGGTAATTATTTTAAGCAGTTTGAAATGGGCATAACTTGTTGCTAAACTAGACTGGTGATAACTTTTCACTGGGGTGAACTATTCTGTAATGCATAGGGTAAAAAGCATGTGGAATTTGTCCGTAAAAATGTGTTGATTTAGTGTTCCAAATACTGGAAGATCAGCTTTTGAGGCAGTTGGCAGAATGCAAAAGTGAACCTGGGCACTGTAACACTGGTCAGTGGAAGTGAAATGCATCTTGTGGGACTCTTGATGTTAATAAAAAACAAACAAAATGCAGGACCGTTTGTTTCTGTTTTGGCACTTAGCTCTTGGAAATTTGTCATGTGTCGCTCCTTCAGTTTTGCCACAGGGTGTCACTAAAAACATACTGTGAGCTGTTACACTCTAGTTTTCGACTTGAAAGCTGTGGGCCTAACCAAGGCAACTCTCTGTTCCTTTAATTAGAACCAGAATCTACTAAAAATGTAAAGTGTGCAGAATATGAGGTGGACAGGTAAAAATGCCATGGGTCTGTTTCTGACGTGCTGAAGGATAAAATAGACATGCAGCAATAAATACCTTTCCTGAAAAGGTGCTATTGTTGAAGACAAACTCAGCAAGAGAATTAGAAATATTCTGGCAATAAGCAAAAAGTATGAATTTACAAACAGGATGATGTTACATTATAAGCCAGCAGAAGATCCTGAGAAAGACACACAAAATCTGAGAATATAGAGTTACCCTATGGTAGGATCCAGCAAAAACTACCTTAGTGACACTTATTCTAGTATTTCTGTCAGGAATGCAACTCTGAGTTCAATCTCTGTGTGCAGGAGTCCCGAAGCCATTGGGCTGCTCTCCTGTGATGGAAGTCTGAGGCAAACGTCCATCTGCATAGCTGATGTTCATTTTCACAGAGCCTCGGGCAGCAGCCTAAAGAGGATTTATTACTTTCTTCATTTGCTCTAGCAGGAGCTGAATTATGCATGGAGATGTGATTGGGGCAAGAGGGGGGAAGAAGGCTCGCGTTAGCAGAAGAGACGCTGAACAAAGTCATAACATTGCTGCCATCTTCTTACCTGTGGACCCAACTAACACCTTTCTAGACTTGACTGTAAATATCCAGCTTGCCAACTGGACTTCCGCAGTAAGAGGTACTCTGGTCACCTTAGCTCTGCTGTTCTCATCATAAATCTCAAACTTTTAAAAGTCTTTAGAAATATAACATTCTCCCAACTCATTTTAGAGAGATTTTCCCCATTTTCTGTCTGCCCTTAGAACCACCTTAGAACAAAGACCTCCTTGTAACGATTTGAGGTCTTTGTTTTTCATGGGCTGGTAAATAAGCCAGATTTACGCTGTTGCTGTGGTTTCAAGTCTCATGGCCCAGCTACCCCATAAGCAATTCTGCATTCATGTTTTACTGCATTCACATCGCTGCCAATGCACGCTGCTTGATCTTCCCGTCAGCCAGCTCAGTGACTACTCTGGTAATGAGGTTAAAATAATTGTTTTTCTTTTCCTCTGCTGGAAAGACAGGAAAGGGGCAAGTCTATCAAATTAACATCAACACAAGAAAACATCTCTGCCATGTTATGTTGGCTAACAGGACTAGTGTCCTCCTGAGGCCTCAAACAGAGGCCGTGCGTTCTGTTACAGAAACACATCCTTGATGCCTGCCCTAGCCCCAGCAATGGATGTAATTTGGAACAAACTATAATGTTTCCATATCTGGCCAAATTTCCAGGTGTGGTATCTGATACTTTCCCAATGGATAAAGTGTACACACCATGACTTACTTCTCCCTTCACTCAGTCTAGTGAGGACTGCATTATGTAGGAAATGGCGAGTTTTGGAGGGTGAGGTTGATGTAAGAGAGGTAGTGCAAAGCTGTACTAATGTCATCTTCTCTGTGGACCTAAATAATAACCTTTCTGGATTGGACTTTTAAAATTGCTTACATCTTAACTACGATCCTATAAATCACATATCTGCAAAATACAGCAATTACTATTTTTGCTTTTGAAACCAACCCTGTCTATGAGTTTCATTCTTTCTTTGATGCACAATTTTTTGTTTGGTACACAAAGAGCAAAGCAACTGTTCTGCACAAGATTAACCAGCTTTAACACATAACAGAGAACTCACCATCTGTCACTTAGAGAAAACCATAGACATACCAGAATAATGCCAACTAAAAATACATAATTTTACTCCTAAAATGAGTTTTCATGAAGAATAATTTTGACAAAGTTATGAAAACCTGAAATGGTCTCTTTGCACATCTCTTTCGGAGACAAACATGATAATGCAGAATCTTCTGTGATGATTTCCGCCATACCAAAATTGGAAAGTAAGACTTACAAGAAATCCAGGATGAGGAGAAGAAAAGAAAAAGACTGTTTCTCTTGCTCTTTTTCTGGAAGTTAAAATCTTCCAATTTCTTCTCTGTCTTTGGGTGGGGATCGTATTTCAGAGGTATTACTCAATCCTAATCTCCAAAAAGGTGAGCTCTATCCATGAAAGCTTAATAGTGGCAGCTTGCCAAAAACCCCTGTCATTCACCCAGCGCTGTCTCCGGAGTCTAAAATCTGTGCTGATGCCTAACAGGGAAGAGAGTACGTTTGCTCCGGTTTCTCAGCTTGACTTTGGGACTACCTAAAGCAGCCTCTTTCAACGACTGCTTATATCCATGCCAGGCACGAGCAGACAATAGGAGCCCCAGGATTCACACAGCCTCCTTACCCTTTTCACATCACTTTCTTCAAAGGCACCAGCCTGCTCATCCCTGTCTGTGCTGTTCCAAGAAGAGATGTGCAGCTAGAGGTGCTGTAAATGAGAAC